TGATTCACGCCGTGCTTGATTCACTTGGTCGTGCTTGATTCACTTGGCTGTGCTTGATTCACTTTGCCGTGCTTGATTCACTTGGCCGTGCTTGATTCACGTGGCCGTGCTTGATTCACGTGGCCGTGCTTGATTCACGTGGCCGTGCTTGATTCACGTGGCCGTGCTTGATTCACGTGGCCGTGGTTGATTCACGTGGCCGTGCTTGATTCACTTGGCCGTGCTTGATTCACGTGGCCGTGCTTGATTCACGTGGCCGTGCTTGATTCACATGGCCGTGGTTGATTCACGTGGCCGTGCTTGATTCATTTGGCCGTGCTTGATTCACTTGGCCGTGCTTGATTCATGTGGCCGTGCTTGATTCACTTGGCCGTGCTTGATTCACTTGGCCGTGCTTGATTCACGTGGCCGTGCTTGATTCACTTGGCCGTGCTTGATTCACTTGGCTGTGCTTGATTCACGTGGCCGTGGTTGATTCACTTGGCCGTGCTTGATTCACTTGGCCGTGCTTGATTCACTTGGCCGTGCTTGATTCACTTGGCCGTGCTTGATTCACGTGGCCGTGCTTGATTCACGTGGCCGTGCTTGATTCACGTGGCCGTGCTTGATTCACTTGGCCGTGCTTGATTCACTTGGCCGTGCTTGATTCACTTGGCCGTGCTTGATTCACTTGGCCGTGCTTGATTCACTTGGCCGTGCTTGATTCACTTGGCCGTGCTTGATTCACTTGGCCGTTCTTGATTCACTTGGCCGTGCTTGATTCACTTGGCCGTGCTTGATTCACTTGGCCGTGCTTGATTCACTTGGCCGTGCTTGATTCACGTGGCCGTGCTTGATTCACGTGGCCGTGCTTGATTCACTTGGCCGTGCTTGATTCACTTGGCCGTGCTTGATTCACTTGGCCGTGCTTGATTCACTTGGCCGTGCTTGATTCACTTGGCCGTGCTTGATTCACGTGGCCGTGCTTGATTCACGTGGCCGTGCTTGATTCACGTGGCCGTGCTTGATTCACTTGGCCGTGCTTGATTCACTTGGCCGTGCTTGATTCACTTGGCCGTGCTTGATTCACTTGGCCGTGCTTGATTCACTTGGCCGTGCTTGATTCACTTGGCCGTGCTTGATTCACTTGGCCGTGCTTGATTCGCTTGGCCGTGCTTGATTCACGTGGCCGTGCTTGATTCACTTGGCCGTGCTTGATTCTCTTGGCCGTGCTTGATTCACTTGGCCGTGCTTGATTCACTTGGCCGTGCTTGATTCACGTGGCCGTGCTTGATTCACTTGGCCGTGCTTGATTCACTTGGCCGTGCTTGATTCACGTGGCCGTGCTTGATTCACGTGGCCGTGCTTAATTCACGTGGCCGTGCTTGATTCACGTGGCCGTGCTTGATTCACGTGGCCGTGCTTGATTCACGTGGCCGTGCTTGATTCACGTGGCCGTGCTTGATTCACGTGGCTGTGCTTGATTCACGTGGCCGTGCTTGATTCACGTGGCCGTGCTTGATTCACGTGGCCGTGCGTGGTTGAGGGCTACTAATCCGGAACGCAATGGTCACCAGTTATCGCAGAATCAGAACACACACCTTCTTCCACACTTTTTTCACAGCTGTTTCGCACCTTTTTTTTTCACACCTTTTGTTTGATTTGCGATGCATTCTCTTGATTCGCTGGTGTGCCCTCCAAGCAGCGATGAGCAGTACATGCAGTATCAGACGAACTCAGAGCTCTCCTATACGTGCCCTGCCTGCCTGGGCCATGCTCCTTGTGTGAGTTCCATTGCCCTGTCACTTGCATTGCCCTGTGACTTGCATTGCCTTCTCACTTGCATTGCCCTGTCACTTGCATTGCCCTGTCACTTGCATTGCCCTCTCACTTGCATTGCCTTCTCACTTGCATTGCCTTCTCACTTGCATTGCCCTGTCACTTGCATTGCCCTCTCACTTGCATTGCCTTCTCACTTGCATTGCCCTCTCACTTGCATTGCCTTCTCACTTGCATTGCCCTGTCACTTGCATTGCCCTCTCACTTGCATTGCCTTCTCACTTGCATTGCCTTCTCACTTGTATTGCCTTCTCACTTGCATTGCCCTGTCACTTGCATTGCGTTGCTGCGCCCTTGTATTGCTCCTCCTTTTCTCTATCAAGTGCTGCCTTGAAACGTCAACTTGTGGTGTTGTGTGCCTTTCTTTGTCCCTCATCACGGGTCGCAACGGCAGCAGGGGCCACTTAGGCGAGTTTTTAGGCGCCCACATACCTCCAAAGAGGAGCACTGGTATTGATTCAAAGCAGAGAGTGCAGCCTCTGAAGTTCTTGTGTAACATTGGTATTGTCTTTCTCTTTCCCTCACCACAGGTTGTAACGGCAGCAGAGGCCTTTCAAAAGCTCTGGTCCTGTGGTGTTAGAGTGCCGATTTTTCAAGTTGTCGTGTGGCTTGGCATGTCTTTCTCTCTACCTTTTGCAGGTTGCAACAGCAGCAGAGGCCACTCAAGAGCTCTGGTCTCGATTCAAACGCCGTGTGGAGCAAAGCAAGGGAGGAGCAAAGGCAGGCGGGGAGGGGGCAGCAGAGGAGGCGGAGGAAAGCACTTGGTCGAGAAAGAGGGGGCAGCGAAAGAGGGGAATGGCTTTGCTTCATGCGAGGGAGGAGCAGCAGGAAGGGGACGCGGAGCGGAAGGGGAGAGGAGAGTGGGAAGGTGGAGGTGGTGAGGGGAGAGGGGATGGGCAAGAGGGCGTTGACCAGGAGGAGGAGGAGCGGAGGGAAAAGGCTCCTCCTCCGTTTTCAGAGAGTGAGGGAGAGGAGAGTGGGGGGGAACGGGGAGGAGGATTGGGTGGTGGTGATGGTGTTGGTAGGAAGGGAAGGAGGGTGGGGGTGGGGTATGTTGCAGGATCTGTTGGAAAGGAGAAAGGGGGAGGAGAAGAGGGCTTAGGAAAGAGGAAGAGGAGGAAGGTGGTAGGGGAGGAGGAGGTGGGGGAAGGGGAGGGGGGGAGGGGAGAGGAAGAGGAGGAGATGGAAGAGTGGCAAGGAAGAGGAGGAGGCAAAGGTGGTTGATGGGGAGGAGGGGGGTGAGGGAAGAGGGGAGGAGGGGATTCGAGTGAGGATAAGGCTGAATAGGAAGAGAGGGGAAGGTGCAAGGGTGGAGGAGCAGGCGGGGCGACATGAGGGGGAAAGTAGGGGTGAGGGGAGGGAGAGGAGGAAGAGGAAGGGAGAGCACGAGGAAGCAAAAGAATGGGGCGAAAAGGGGGAGAAGGATGGTTCGGGAAGGGAGGAGAAAAGAAACAATGAGAGAAGTATGAAGGAACGAGATTCAGAAGAAAAGGCTAAGGAGTTGGGCGAGAGGAAAGGAGGGGAAGCAGGAGAGGGTGAAGATTTCCATGAAGAGGTGACGCACACCAAGAGGAGGAGGAAGGGAGGGAAGGAGGAGGAGGGGAGGGAAGGGGGCAAGGGAAGGCAGAGGAGGGAGAGAGAGGAGGTGGACAAGGCAAGGAGAGGAAAGAGTGGTGTGAGTGGTGTGACGCAAAAGGGGGTTGAGGAGAGGAGTGAGGGAGGCTTGCAAGAAGAGGGTGATCAGGGGAGGGGCGAGGGTGTGGATGGTTTGACCAAGGAGGGTGGAGCACAAAAATTTGAGGGGCATAGGAAAAGGCATCGGGAGGTGCAGAGGGAAGCAGTGGAGGAAAAGTGTAAGGATAACAATGGAGACAGGGGAAAGGAGGTGGATGGTGAGGGGAAGGAGCAAGCTGGGGAGAAACATGGGGAGGAAAAAGTGGGGGCGGAGGAAGGGGTAACAAAGGAGAGAAGGAAGGAAGATAAGGAAGTTAAGCAGACGCATGGGAGTGGTGTTAGTACGGAGGGTCTGGGCCTTGAAGTGCCTCAACAGCTGTCTCTGGAAGACAAACAAACGCATGGGGGTGGCAGTATAGGGGGTTTGGCGGGCTTGGATGTTCTTATTGGGGGGGCGGGCAGGGGGGGGCCTGCAGGTAGCAATAGCGGGAGGGGGAGGGGCGAAGGAGGGAGGAGTGTTGGGGAAGGTGTGGAAGGGAAAGAGGATGGGAAGGGGGGTGGGAAGGGGGATAGCGTGGGAGATGGGGAGGGGAAGAGGGGGGACAGTGGGGATGGAGATGGGGAGGGGGCGGCCGGCAAGGATGGGTCCAAAAGGAGGCCTTGGGATGCCTCTGTCACGGCTGGCAGGCAGGAGGCAGACAGCAGGCAGCAGCTAGAAGCAGCTGCGGTCGGTGCTTCTGAAAGTGCTGCTGGCACTGGTGGTGGTGGTGGTGGTGGTGATGGTGGTGATGGTTCTGCTGGTGTTGGCGGTGCTAGTGTTGCTGGTTCTGGCGGCGCTCCTGGTGGTGGTGGTGCTGGTGATGGAGGCGTGAGGGGGTTGAAGCTCATGATTCGCAAGTCGCATGGGGGAGGAATGGGGGGGAAAGGCAGGGATGAAGACAACAGACAACCGGGTAGTACTTGATGGGGTTGAGTGACTTTGACATACGGTACTGACCGAGTTGGCAGAATGTGAGATGGGGAGTATTGCAATTGCACCTCAACATACGGTAAATATCCTCGCCGCCTAGTCTTTATGGTACCGGTATGCTTGGTTTCACTAGTTTCTCCTCTTCATGGAACTGCCCTTACCAAGCCTAGAGGGTGGTCAAATCTGTTGGGTTGCTCCAATAAACATATGTAGTGGTAGATTTACACTTCTGTAGGGTAGAATACATTGGTTGGGTTGGGAGAACTTGTGCTGTACACTCTTTAGAATGGATCACTTCCCAAACCGTATAAGTTAGGGTTCTGTCTTGTTGGAACTTCACTTCTTGGATATCACTTTGGTTCTAACATGGTTCATGTCCAAGTTGGGTGCTAAAATTCCTAGGCTTTAGGAGATTCTGAGATTACTATAGCTTCCGCTAGTAGCTTAGACCATTCTAATAAAATCAAATGACACTCTTGCATTCCTCGGTGTACATCTCTTAGCCAAGCCAGGTTGTGCTGTACTGGGTGTGGGGCAGCTACTGAGACCGAGCATCAGCGCCTCCCCTAGCTGCCTCCAGGGCGAGCAGCAGTGAGGCCAGGCGCCCCACAACCTCCTGCTCATACTCCGCCTCGTCCCCCCCCCGCTGCACCTCCCCCACATGCGCCTGCAGCGCGGCCCTCACGCGCTCCACTGCCAGCTCGGGGCGGCAGCATGCAAGCAGCACTCGGCGCGTGGCGGGGGAGGCGGCCAGCAGGCTGTGCAGCGCTGCTGCTGCCTGTGCGGGTGGGGGGAGGGGAGCGTGGAGAGAGCAGGTGGGCGCAGGTGGGAATGAGTGCATATTGAAGCAAGCAGACATGGAAGAAGGTGACAAATGAAACCCGCCACCCAAAAGAACAGAACAAAACAAAAGCACAAAGAGTTTTTTGCGCGTGAATGCATCGAGCATGTGCTAAAACACCATGCACCCCGCGTACCTTATCCAGCATGTCCAGGTCCCACCTTATCACCATGTCCAGGTCCCACCTTATCCAGCATGTCCAGGTCCCACCTTATCCACCATGTCCAGGTCCCACCTTATCCACCATGTCCAGGTCCCACCTTATCCACCATGTCCAGGTCCCACCTTATCCACCATGTCCAGGTCCCACGTGCTGCTGCCGTCCTCACTGCGCCTCCACACTGCCCCCCGCCCCTCCACACTCTCCCCCTCGCCCCCGCCTAGCAGCCCCACCACTGCCCTCATCAGCGCCTCATCTGCCAACCACTCTTCTCTTCCTTGCTCCTCCTCCCCCTGTTCCTCCCCTCCTTGCTTCTCCCCCATATTTGCCTCCTCACTGTCCCCCTCACCCTTCAACCCTTTGGCAATTCTCACCCCCTCTTTCTCTCGCTCCGCGTCCCCACCCTCCCCCCCACCCCCTGCCCGCGCCCCTGCACTATCCGCCAGGTCAGCGAGCAGAAAGAGCGCCCGGCGCTGCGTGCGGGAGGATGGCAGGGACAGCAGGCGCGCCAGCAGGGCCACACCACCGTGGCGGTAGAACCAATGGGTGGCTGCCACGTGGCCACGGATGGCAGCAGAGAGGGCGAAGAGCAGCCTGGCGTGCTCGTCCTCGCCCAGCGGGGGGTTGGGGTGCGGTGAGTGCAGGCGCGTGAAGAGTGCTTGGAGTACACCGGTGCCCATCACCTGCCGCACGCATGACGGTGGAGGAGGGGGGTTGCGGGTGACGGTGGAGGAGGGGGGTTGCGGGTGACGGTGGAGGAGGGGGGTTGCGGGTGACGGGGATGTGGAAAAGGGACAAACCGGATGGGTGCGCACGCACGTCTGGGGAGCATGGGCGAGGAAAGTGTGGAGGAGCGGGGCGAGTGATGTGCAGGGCAGCACACCTGGTGCTGCACTTGGCGGTTGTTCTGTGCCGCCTTGCCCACCACCAGCGCCGCCATGCTGCGCACCTGGCTGCTCCCATGCGCCAGCAGCACCCCCAACGGTGCCAGCCCGCCCAGCTTGTGCAGATCTGCCATGGAGACATGCATGGGCACGGTGGAGGGTGACAGGCAGGGCGGGCAATGAAACAAGCGGAACGGGTTGATATGTTGCAGACACACACTCGAATGCTGTTCACACAACCTAGCTTACAGTAAAGCACAACCATGAAGCACCGAACAAGATAAGTTGCAATGAGCAGAAGTCTAAAGTGGAAGGGGGACGGTGTTTGATGGAAGTGCAGGTGGGAGGGCGAGAGATGGGAGAGATGGAAGCACAGGGAAGGGATGAGATGGGATCCGCCTCCTCATGTGTGGTGTGGCAGCACGGGCAAGCAAGGGCGAGGTGGCATGGCAGGGGAGCAGCGCACCGTTGGCGGCATGCACGGGCTCCACCAGCTGCGCCAGCTCCTGCAGCGCCCCCACCACGCGCTCATGCTCCTCCTCCCCTCCCCCTTGCTCCCCTGGCGCCCCCCCATGAGCAGCAGCAGCGGGGGCGATGTGGGCGATGGCGGCGCGCATGAGGTCGCCGGGGGACGGCATGCGCATGGCGTCCACCACGTCCTGGGGGGGGCGGCGGGGAGGGCGGATGCATGGAGGGTGGCATTGGGGGATGCACGGAGGGTGGCATTGGGGGATGGAAACCCAGGATGCAGAAGAGCAAAGACAGAGCACACGCGAGGCAAGGCGAGGCGAGGCGAGGCGAGGCGAGGCGAGGCGAGGCGAGGCGAGGCGAGGCGAGGCGAGGCGAGGCGAGGCGGGGCGAGGCGGGGCGGAACTCACGCGGATGTGTTTTCGCTTCTCCTCCAGCTCCGCGGGTGTGAGTTCCGCCACCTCCTTGGCTCTCTGCCTCAACGCCTCCGGGTCCGACCGCTCTGCTCACACACGGAGAGGGCACGCATGACTCGAGATGGCAGCACAGCTGGTGCGCAGACAAGGAGGGGGGCATATAGCACGTGGTGACAGGCACGCAGGCGCGACGTCCAGCATGAGTGTGGTCGTACACATGCTGGGAACACGGGTCGTACACATGCTGGGAACACGGGTCGTACACATGCTGGGAACACGGGTCGTACACATGCTGGGAACACGGGTCGTACACATGCTGGGAACACGGGTCGTACACATGCTGGGAACACGGTTCATACCAGCGGACCCACAACCAGCTGCTTGCACCACCTATTGCCAGCATACTCCGTGCATACCTATGGCCCACTGCAGCATCGCATCCATGCTCGCAAAGCCCCCCTCCGCCCCTTCCTCCCCCTCTCCGCCTCCCCCTCCCCGCCCACTCCCCCCCGCTTCGTGCTCGTCGCCCGCTCGCCTGGGAACCACCACTTCCACGTCAGCATGCTCCAGCGACGGGATCGTGCTGTTTGCCAGGCCAATTGAGAGCGAGGACACGTCAGGGTAGGCCTCGTCCACGTCAGCCGAGCTGCGCGGCGACTCGCGATGCGGCGATGGGGACGAAACGGCGGGTTGCCTCGAGGCGGGCGGGGCTGCGATCGGCGCGCTGTCGTCGGGGGGAGGGGGTACCAACACGAGACCTTGCGCCGAGGCGCGGAGGGAAAGATGCGATGAGAGGAGGAGCGGGAGGAGGAGGATGAGGAGCGCAAGAGAACGCGGCGAACGTGATGGTGGTGGTAATGGTGGTCTCATGGAAGAACGTGATGGTGGTGGTAATGGTGGTCTCATGGAAGAACGTGATGGTTCGCACGGTGGCGCAGGAACTCGAGCTGCCATGCTCTTCGGGAATTCCCGACACACAGCTGAAGTACGCGAAGCAGATGCAAAGATCGGTATAGCTCGCGAAAGGGAAGGTTGGAAACAGTGGCTGCTGCGACGGGCGTAGATGAGTAAGGCTGGTCGGGACTGGCACCGAGGTCCTGTTCGTTAGGGCCTGCTGAAACAAGGGGGATTGGGATAAGCGAATGGATCGCGAAGCTGTCGACGAAGTGAGTTGCATGTAGGGTGACGAGTTGAGGGATGGCGAAAGAGAGGGGAGGAACCGGCGTGACGACAGAGTCGAGGGATGAGCCAATCAGCTCGTCGACGACAGCACAATCTGCGTTGCGCGATGTTGGGAGGGATAAACGCAAATGGCGCGATGTTGAAAGTGGCTGTGTGCGTGCCCATGTCTGTCGGGAATGGAATATAGAACGTATAACATTATTATTTGCTCAAAAAGCAGTTGATCCAGCTTTCACCATATTCTTACTTAAAACTGGAGTCCCAAACAGGCCTAAACTGCCTCAAGCTTCCTAACTTTGGTTGGGTGTGGCCCAGTAGATAATGACTCACTTCACAAATTGTCGGGACAAATTTTGCCACGCGAAATTACTGTACAAGCGAGAGCGATAGGAGTGACAATTTCGCACAAAAAGTTGAAGCCCGTCCGAAACTTTTGCAAGCTATTTCGTGATGTTACAACTGAAGGATCGTAGTGGATAGGATAATGCTGCTAAGTATGTGAGAGAGAACTGTGAAAATGAGAACGAGAATGAATGAACTATGAATGAAGTGGGTACAAGTACTAACCCTAATTAGGTTGTACCCCCTATGGGATACCCCACTACAGCCTACACAAAAGCATTGTTGGAAACAATAAGTCCTAAGTACGCTTCTGTCGTATCAAAATCCAAGGTACCAAGCGAAGCAGTCCCAATCGAAGCATCGAATCAACCTCGGAGGTTAGGGTAACCGCCTGGAGGTTACGAGAAAGTCAAAGGTCGCTGACCTTTGACTCGACAATTACAGCGCGACAGTTAAGGACACACAACTGACTCGTTACAGAGCAGTTGCCCGAGTCGCGCTATATCGAACCGCAACAGCAATACAGTTATCTATCTATTCTCTGTACTCTTATATAAATCCTTGTATTTGCTTGTTTAATTCAATCAACTTTGCTCTCACACACCAGTGCAAGGTCGGTTCAAATTCTTCACTAAACGCTTCCGCTATTACAACTACTTCACCTAGAGTTATCCCTTGCAAAGATCCTAAGGGGCTATCTCAGCCCAACATGGTATGAGAGCGGACAAGGGAAACTCTACTCTTTTTTTTCAAGATCATTACAAGACATGGCAACAAACAAGGAAAGGAGCTCCCCTAATGGCTCCTCGGGCACTACTCCTACTCCACCGCCAGCCTCTGGCCTGCAGACAGAAGAAGGCACGGCAACAAGACCAAGAGGAACGTCAACCGAGACCCCCATGAACCACCCTTCGGACTTTGACCAGAACATGATGGAGAAATTTTTCTCCTTCATGTCCTTCTACGAACAACACCAGCAGTCGGGACCTGCACAAACACACAACAGCAACAACGGAGCGACACCCATGAGTCTTGATGGGTCGTCATATGCGCGAGGAAACCAGCAGCAGCAACCTACCTTTGCTCCGTACGAGCGCGGGTCAATCAGCTTCGTGCCCCACCCGCAACCTTCACCTGGACAAGAAAGACCACTGGACGCACTTCAAGTTCAGTCGCAGTTTGCACACGTCTTAAAACTGCAAACGTAAAGACCCTTCGACGGCAAAGACTTCTTTACCTGGTCCTTTGAATTCGAGCTGATGATGGAGGGCGCGCAGATACTCGGCTTCTTCGACGGGTCCTTGCAGTATCCAGCCAACGGGACACAATATGAAAAGCAGCAGTATACGTATCAATCAATGATGGCGTATACAATCCTATTGAGGAACGTGACACCAACTCAGCAGCAGAACATTCGCTCTTACCGGACCTTCGGCAACTCGGCGGAGCTCGCGTACAGCCATCTGAAGAACCTGTATCAAGCAACAGACAGTGTAAACCAGAGCAGGTTAATGGCGCAGTTGACGACAGTCGAAATGAAACCAGGAGAAAAAGGACTGGCGTATATCAGCCGATGTCGCGAACTGCGCGACAAGCTGCTTCGATGCGGAGGGTCAATCTCTGAAGACGCCTTCGTGACAGTCATCATTGGTGGGCTTGGTCCTCAGTGGCGCGCCACCAAAGCCATTCTTCGAGCCCACGGAAGAATCTCTGAAGCTGCACTCTGCGCCGAAATACATGCCGAGCAGCAAGATATGGACCTGCAGGAAGAACGACATAGGAAGAAAACGACAGTATCAGAGTTCGCATTCCACACTCAACGACGACATAGCAATTATAACAACCGACAGCAGCAACCGAAGATAGTACCTCCCTTCTGCCACATCTGCAAGACTTCAGGGCACCCGCGCACACACTGCCCGAATCGTCAGCAATCAACGGCACCACAGCGACAACTTCGACCTTCAAGCTCCCAAATGGCTTCAACACAAGCAAGTGCGACAACCACTATTCAAGCTTCAACGACTTCACCCGGACAACCTGCACAAGGAGCAAGAAATATAATCAACTGCATGACGAAGATAACCGATTCGTGTACAACCGAATCACCACCACACTACTCACCGGAAGAAGAGCTTGACAACAGAACGCCTCGCCGTGAACTACTCCAGCCGAATCCAACGTACGCCGCCATCGCTCAAAGTGAACCGTCCGGCCAAGACACCTGGTTCTTGGACAGTTGCTGCGGGCAACACTGTCAGAATCCCAACCACTAGACCATTGGGATAAAAGGGCTTGTTTCAGTAGCAGGTCAGTGCGCCCATAACCCCCCAGGCGAACGCGCCTGTAACCCTCTCCAGGATCAATCGGGAATCCACAGTGCAGATCCACTGACACCCCCCCACACTGGGAGGCCCAGGACTAAGCACAACGGCAACGGCCTACATGTGCATACACCGGGAATCGAACCCGAGACCGCTCTGATACCATGTCAGAATCCCAACCACTAGACCATTGGGATAAAAGGGCTTGTTTCAGTAGCAGGTCAGTGCGCCCATAACCCCCCAGGCGAACGCGCCTGTAACCCTCTCCAGGATCAATCGGGCATCCACAGTGCAGATCCACTGACAAACACATGTGCTCGTCCGGGCGTTTCGTACAACGCGAACATCGACTCCAACGGGAAGTGATCATCACGGTTGCCAACAACCAAAACCTGCGCACACGAAGACAAGGAGTGGTACAGCTTCAGTCAAGAGAAACAAATGTCATACTGCACATGTCTAAGGTACTCATCGCTGAAGGACTCGGCTACAACTTACTGAGCGTTAGCCAGTTGATGGCGAAAGGAATTCATCTGGAAGCCGACAGCACGACCCAGGAGTTCAAGCTTTACCACGGGAGAGGCGGTCTCTACATCGGAAAAGCAGTGCTGAAGAACAATGTCTTCGTCCTCGACTTCGTTCCTGACCTCGGCACTGCAGACAGCGACGCCATCGTGAATTTCACTGACTGGACACACCCTCCGGATCTCGACCCCGACTTCAGCCCGGGAGGCTTCTGGTACTCGCACACCATTCCTGAAGCAGAACGAACACGAGCATTAGCAACAATTCGACAATCGGCAGCAGCAGCAACAACATCGGCAGCAGTAACAACATCGGCATCAGCAGCAACAACATCGGCAGCAGTAACAACATCGGCAGCAGCAACAACATCAGCAGCAGCAGAAACAACGACACCAGTCACAGTCGACGAAGCACCACCAACACCCGCGCAACAGCTGAATCCGACTCAACGTGAAGTCCACCGAAGCGCCAACCTCGTCGCCAGCTTTTACTCCAACTCCGACGCATATCAGCGTTCACCTGGACACCGCGCCTCTGAAGAGATCTGGCACGCACGCACAGGACATCCAAGCAACACGGTTTTGAATAACACGATAAGAGCAGGAGTCCTCGACAAAGACTCTCTACTTCTACCCGATGGCAGAGAACTCCAGAAGGCACGAGGGACTTGCCTTATATGTCCCGAAGCTGACTTACCTCATCGACCGTTTGCTTCACATCACAACCCGAGCGCTCCAGCGTACGCACCACTCGAAAAAGTCTACAGCGACATCCTCTACAATCGCGAACCAGGACAAGTCAACTACAACTACACCATCACCTTCATCGACGCCGCCACTCGATACGTCTGGCATCGCAACCTACCCAGCCGCGACATGGCGCTCGCAGCATTCACCGCCTGGCTACCGATAGCAGAGAGAGAGTCTGGAACACAACTGAAAAATTTCCAGTCAGACGGAGGTGGCGAGTACACCTCTCACCGCTTCAAGCAGTTCTTGGCGGAAAGGGGGATCAAGCAACTCCTCTCCCTTCCCTACGCACATCAGCAGCAAGGTGTTGCAGAACGACTGAACAGGACCCTGCAGAACAGCATGCGCAAACTGTTACGTGGCATGCGGCTACCCAACCACCAGTGGCCAGCAGCAATGGACCACGCTGTCATGCTGCACAACTTGTTGTCGTTGTCGTCACTCCCGAACAACGCATCACCGCATCTGCTGTGGACAGGGAAGCAGGGCAGCACGAAAATGTTACGAGTTTTCGGGTGCATGGTACAGTACAGACCCCTAGAAGCACGAGCGGGAAGATTTTCGCAACGGGCACAGTGGGGACTACACCTCGGCATCGAGAAAAATTACAACGCATGGAGAATCTTCGACGTCCACACAAAGGAAACAGTAGCAGCACGTGACGTGATCTTCTACGAAAGACTCACCCTTCAGACGTACCTCGCCAACTTGCACGAGAATCGGGACCTCACCAGTGGTTTTCGTGGTGACCGAGCCTTCGCGTCAGCAGCGGATGAAGCAGACTGGGACGAGCAGAATGTTGACAACGCATCGGCAGAAGCCGGACCTCTCCCGTACTGCTCCGTCAACGTGCCCATGGACGAAGAAAATCCTCGCGACAGTAACAACGCCGAAGTCTTCTACCACTTCGCCGACACCGGTTACGTAACACCTGCAACCGTCAACACAAATGAAGCAGAAAGGATAGGACCGAATTTCATCCCTGATCCAGAAGCGGGAGACGAAGCAGCTTATCCCGAGGATCCAGAACTCCCTCGATACTCACAGACTGGGCTGCAAATCCTCGGCCTCGTCACCGCAGTCCACGGGAACACACGCAGCTCGCTTCCTAAGGAGCCTGCAACGGTTCAGCAGGCTCTGGGGGGGGAACACAGGGAGAAATGGCGTGAAGCCATGGATAGAGAACTGAAGGCATTAGAGGAACGCAACACTTGGAAGGTTGTTC